CGGGGAGCTGGTTCTTTTTAGGCCAGTGGTGGGGTGCTTTGTGATTTTTCTTTTCGTTTTTACGTAGGAAAGCAAAGTAATGAGCCACGGTAGGTGACGGGCATTAGTGAGACTCGGTGGTGTTAACATGAGATAATTGCCTTTGGAGCGCCTGGGCGCCCGGGGTCCTGGTCGGTGCCGCTAGTCCGCTGATGGCCGCAGTGCGGAGTTGGACTCTCCGGAGCTGGTTCTTTTTAGGCCAGTGGTGGGGTGCTTTGTGATTTTTCTTTTCGTTTTTACGTAGGAAAGCAAAGTAATGAGCCACGGTAGGTGACGGGCATTAGTGAGACTCGGTGGTGTTAACATGAGATTTAATTGCCTTGGGGTAGCCTGTGCACGACCATCCTCAGACTCGGGAGCGTTCACCTTAGTTTAGTAAGTCTTTGGCTTGGTACTTAAACAAACGGTTTTGTACATGTTTTTGTCTTGAGAGCTACATCCTCTCTTTTACACCAGCGTTCGTTTCACAGGAATAATGGTTATGAAAGCTTCTGTAGACGATGATGATTCGGGATGGGAGCTCAGTGTCCCTGAGAAAATGGGAAAAAGCAATACAAGCTGGGTGGACATAACCCAGGATTTTGAAAACGCTTGTCGAGGTGAGTTGGGATTTTTGGATTAGAAGTTCGGAAGTTGAGAAGTAAAACTGATGGTGATTTCTAAACTTACTTAGTACATGAGAAAAATTCAACAGGTAAGTGTAGTTCATCAAGTTTGTTAACCACACTTACTCTCTGCTCTGTGATTTTAACTTTAAAGCCGGTATGTGTTTGATAACAGCATTAGAGATGCTGAGACAGTGTGTCCTTTTACATTTTCCTGACCTTGAGGTAAGACGGTGCATTGCAGCAGTTTCTAAAACAATTTCTAATTGTGGAAACACTGCTTATGTTGACCAAAAGTATTTTTAGCTTTGGAAATGGTCAGAACCCTGCTTGAGATCCACTAGTGGCTTCCTGTTGCATGTAGAATAAAGTCACTCAATCCTTGTGGCTCTGCTTACCACTCAGGCTTCAGTTTTGTACCACTGCCCCATCAGTTCCAGTCACAAGGACCTGAATTCATTTTTGAAAATAAATGATTGGGGAAAAGATTGAGCTCATTTGTTGAAGGGAAAAAGGCTTTGAGGAAAACTGAGAAAGGAACCAGATACTAAAGATCTCGGACTGCAAAGAGGGTGGGATCAAGAACATGGTAGGGGAAAGCAGGATTACACACGGAGCCCAGAAGAACTGAGGTTAGGGCGATGAAGATATAGGTGTAACTCTGAAGTGGCTGGGGAGGAAAGATGGAGGAATTCATACCTGGTGGCTTCTGTCTTCTCAAGAAGCTCACTGGCTCCTTTGGTAATAATAAGGTGGAGTGTGTTTGAATAGTGCTTTTACGGGGTGAAGCCTGGAGCAGCTTCAGGTGGGATGGAGCCAACTGAGTATAAGAAAATCCCATGCCTATCCTTTTACTGTTTGAAATACTTGTCTAGTTAAAGTATGTCTCACTAAGATAGTGGAAAGAAGATTACACTGGGAGTTGCCGGTATGTGTCTACCTCACAGAGAAAGAAGTGTAAGTTAGAGTTATTTCTGTGCTCAGAAGTCTTAGACAATTAAGTGGATCATATATATCTTGCCCTGATTTTAAGAGATGTGTGTTAGGGAGTTGTCATGACTGAGATGAATTGTACGAGCCAGAGTTTAGTGAGAGCTTTTAAGTTTAGGGAAGTAAGTGCTTAGCTGCAGAACATTTTCCAGTGGGAAGTCCTTCAGTTTTTTCATTTTGTTTTCTTGATTTGAACTTGGTTTATGAACATGGGAAATTTTTTTTTTTGGTACTGGGGATCGAACTTGGGACTTTGTGCTTGTGAGGCAGGTGGCAGAACCACTGAGCTAAATCCCTGGGCCAACATGGGACATTTTAAAGGGTTTTTGAGGCTAAGATTGAAAACATATTGCCCTGGATGTTTAGTACAGTGACTGGGACAGTATCTTCTCAGTACATAAATAGCAAAATAAGCTTTTGAGTAAGAAATGGGCAAAAGTCTCAATTCAGGTATTTGTTTGAGTTGAGTAGTTTAATCTGAGTCTTAGAGTTCTTTGTAAAGTAGTACTGCTACTTTATAAAGTGATTAAATGAGATGGTAGATGTAAAGTACTTGATCTATTCTAATAAGCACTTGGTGATGGTAGCCATTGTTACTCATGGTATTTAATTTGGTGGTGTAAGTGTATGAAAGCAACATAATTTATGATTGTTGAAATAACAAGAGCCTATACCCTCAGACACAAGGTTTGTCACTACCTGTTTGAGGTGATAAGGACTTGGACTGGGTTCTAGAGTGGAATAAAAAGGTTACATGTGATAAATTGATGTGTTTGGATTGGTGAATGCTAGAGTGGTGAAAGGAACGTGAGAGGGAGGAATTTCTTCATCATTTCCCCCAGTGACAACCGAAAAGAATGAGCACATATGCTATTCAGCTTCCCCTTCTTCCCAAGACTTACAGGTAGCATTCAGAGGAGCTCATACATGTGTTTTATCATAGGAATTATAGGAAAGTTAGTGGTTTACACTGTATTGCCATTTATTCAAGGTCTTTTCTTCCCAGTTTATCACATACATTTAACACAAGGCAGCTGTACCAATTTTTATCCTGTTTGTTTGAATACCTTGGGGCCTAACTCCCACAGTTGTGCATACCATGGTTTGAAGATTGAGTCTGAAGAATTTAGTCTCAGCTGACTTTTATTTTACTTCTATTCCTTGCTTCGAGGTTGTAGGGAGAATTGAGCCTAATTTTGGGAGGGGTGAGCTGCTTCAGTGTGACTTACTGTTATATCATAATTCAACCCTGTTTCTTTGTCTAAGGAACTTTGAGTAGAGATAGTTTAATCTCTACTTTGTGGATTGTGATGGGGTGCATGCTATTTTGTTGCCATTCATGCTGTCCTCTTTTCCTCAGTTAGCCCTGGCATTATCTCAGGTGGCATAAATGTGAGGTATATTTTTTGGAACAAAAAGTTGATATAGAAAGAATCTTCTTTTACATAGAGATTTGGGGCTACAGACTTCTGACAGCTTAGAGCGTTTGATTTAGTAATTTGTTTTCCTTCTTGAAATAATCATTCATAGTCTTGATTATATTTTAGACTTGTGTTCTGGTCCCTTTCTAAAATTTTAGTTTAAAACATATGGGCTGTCATGGCTTTCATTGTGATAGCCTGCCCTGCGTCCTCCAGGTTATACTTTTATCTTGCTTTTTTGACTTTTTTATTCCATGCTTCCTCTGCAGAGTCAGTTTTTCCTTCAAGCTTCACTTTTACTTTTTCAAATAAACTTTGCTACCATTTAGAAATACATTTATTCTCTTCAACTGTCCAATAGTATGATGGCTTTTGGCTAGATTGGTGATTTTTTTTTTTAACATGTTTTTGTCTAATAAGTCAAACATTACAGATTCATTTGGGGCCAAATAAGTGCAGATTTTTAAAAGTTTCTTATTGAGGTTAAGATTTGCAGACTTAACGTTAAGATAAATTTTAAGAGTATAAATTTCTTCAGAAAGTGTTTTCCTGTTGAATGATTAAGAAATAAGTCCTTTGGATGAAGTCACTGGATGGCTTAGCCCTAGGCTCTTATTCTGTATTTATTTGATATCTCCCATGCCCTTGGCTTAATTATCACTCCAGTAATGATGACTCCTAAGTTCATATTTTTAATCTAGGTCTCTCCTTGGAGTTTGGTAGATAACAGTGGTCGTCTTGTTGTGCCGCAGACTCCTCAATTTACCCTTAAAATAGGGAGGACTTATGTTTATCTGTCTCAGCACATGCCACCATTACTTAGGTGTCACAAATGTGGAGGATGTAACTTAAAACCTTATATTCCATTACTTCTTACATATAATCTGTCAGCAAGTCCTGTTGATTCTGCCACCTCAGTATGTCTCTAATTTATTTCTGTCTTCCTTGTGCATACTCTCCCAGTTTAAGCTAGTGTCTCAGTCTCAGATTTCAGTAACAGTTGTCCTATATGCATCTTTTCAGGCCCTTCTAGCAAGTTCTCCACTTTATACTAGAGTGAACTTTTCAGAACACAAATCTGTGATAGGAGCACCTTTCTGCTGGACCATCTTCCTTAAAAGGAATGATGTATATTCTTTATGAACTGGCCCAGCCTACCTTTTTCGGCCTCTGTTGCTCCTCTCTGCCCTAACCTTTTTGACTTTGAAAGTGTTATACCTTGTTGTCCCTGTCTTCCCCCTTCTTCTGCCCAGATCCATTACATGTGCATTTTCCTCACTTTGTTTTTGAGACACAATCTTGCTTTGTAGTCTGGGCTGGCCTTGAACTCATGCCAGTTTTCCTGCCTTGGCCTTTCAAGTGCTGCTGGATTTACAGGTGTGTACCACCCAGCTCAGCATTTTCCTCATTAAAAGTTTCTTTGCTTCTGTGTGGGGGGCTTAACTTTTACTCATCAATCAGACCTCAGCTCACATGTTGCTTCTTGAAGGAAGCTTCCCTGCCCCCTCAATCTGGGTCAGTGATTTTGTTTTTTCTTGCTAAATAATAATCTGAGCCAGGTGCGGTGTTACGTGCCTGTAAACCTAGCACTCAGAGAGGCTGAGATAGGACTGAAAATTCAAGCCCAGCCTGGGCAACCTAGTGACTCAATAAGACCGTTTCTCAAAATAAAACATGAAAAGGGTTGAGGCTGCAGCCCATTGTGAAGGTTTTTGGATTCAATTCTTACTACTGGAAAAAACAAAAAACAACTCCCTACTGATGACAGAGTTAATTTCATGTGCATCCTTACTCATTCTCTTAGTTATTCATCAAATACGAACTTGTAATTTGTCATTTCTTTCATTTATTGTTTGGCAGGGAACACACGTTCTCTCCATGTATTCTGTAACTGATCTTTTGTTTCTTTTCCAAATTATTTTGACTCTATGGTTCCAACACTGTTAATTTCCCTAATAAGTAATATGATTACCGCTAAGGCTTACCTTCTCTGGGAAGCTATGATTTTAAGTAGTGCTTGGAGACTTTCCTTCTCTGGCAAACCATGCTGGATTTAAACTTTGCATTTTGCTACCTATAAAAGGTCTTGATTGCCTGACTTGAGAGATGGGTTAGTCTGGGGTATTCACAGAGTCACTTAGTCTTTCGAGTACTGTATTCTGACCTTCAAATTACTGTGGAAACTTTGTTTTTACCCTCTGCCAAAGAAAACCTTCAGGGTTGCCTGGGATGACAGAGGGGTATTATCCTCTATAAATTTGGGCAGGTCTCTGGGACAATCTGATTGCTTAGTCCTCCAAATTTTAGCCCTTTACTCTCACTTTCAAAATAAGTGATAAATCAGGTCCCCCGTTTGGCTTGAGAATTCAGTTTTCTTGGGTCTGTTAAGAAATTAAATTGTCTAAGTTTCACAAATTTTGTTAATGTTATTTTTTACTTTTCCTGTTTTTCTTTGGGGTTTTTTGTCCTTTTAAAAAAAATCCCTTTTGTATTAATGGGATTTCTAGAGGAAATAAAAGGTGGTTGCATATGTTCATTTGGCCGCCTTTACCTAGGAGTAATGTTAATTGTTCTGTTTAAATATAATTTATACAATGACTCTGGATATCAGCTATACTATGGATTATAGGGCTTTTATAGGACCTCTCACAACCTAAACATTGCTTAAAATATTATATGAAAAAATCTAGTCAAACCTACAGCACCGGTTTACAGATGATCTTCTCATTTATCACATGCTAAAATGTATTTGCAGCATTTCCTCTTTGCTTGTTTTTCCCTCTGTCCTGTTGGAGTACATTTCTTCAGGAAAATGGTTAATTACATTAAATGCTTAGCACTGCTGAATGCCAAAGTATATAAAGAAAAAAACCTTGATTCACTGTTTATGTCCAAGGTGGAAGAAATGTGTCCTTGGTAAGATGCTGTGAAACTCTTAACCCACAGTTGGATTTTCTCGTAACATCTATTCATATGCCTTAAGAGAATAAGAATGAAAGTTGTCAACATTGCCAAACATTTTGAATCTGTACAATTATGGTTTGAGTTAGTCTTCCATGTTTTTAATTTTCCTTTTGCTTTGAGTGGTTTAAGATACATACTGCTGAGCCTCAACAGTTTCCTATTTTCTGTGTTTTTATAGTAACCATCAATAGGTGTGAGGCGGTGTCACTATACTTTTTTTTTATAATTTTGAATTCTATTTCCCTATGAGTCATAGCCATCAAAGACATTAAGTGTGATGAAAAAGATTTTGTCTTTTTAAGCTGGAAGGGTATGGAAGTGAAAAGTACCCTACTAAGTAAGCTTGGGACCATTGCCCTGATTTGTGCTAAAGCTGCAGCAGTTTTGCCCATCGATACTGGCTTGGTTTTTCTACCCCTTTCTCCCATTGCATCATTAGTGTAAATGTTAACACAGTGGAAAAGACAAAGAACATGTTAGTAATCCAGCATCATAGACTGCTGATTTCCTGGGCTACTCTGATAATTGGTGGCTTATTAGTCTGTGCTCTATTAGGCTTTATTGTCATGTTTTATACATGCTTCTCATTTGTTCCTTGTGGTACCTAGAACTGTCATAAATTAATATTATTTAATTTATTAGCTAGGAGAATTGGATGAAGTTTTGGAGACTTTATACTTTAGGATTTGACCATTAATATCTAGGCTACTTAATATAGCTAGCAGTGGTTCCCACTTTATACCGAAACACAAAATAACCTGGAGTGCTTTAAAACCACGGTGTAGGTCCTGACATTTAAATTTAGAAAGTTCCCCAGTTGATTCTAAAGTGTAGCAAGATTGAAGACGCTGCTTCATAGTGAGTGGACACCATTTTCATTAGTTGTTTACTCGAGTATTTCCTATTTATTTATTTGTCATTTTTTTGAGATAGGGTCTTGCTATGTAGTTGAGGCGGGCCTCACACTGTGCAGTGCAGTCCAAGCTGGACTCAAAGTCACAGCAGACCTCCTGCCTCAGCCTCCTCATTGCTGGGATTATAGGTGTGCACCACCACGGCTAGCTGTTTTCTACGTTATTTGAACAAAATATAATTTAAAAAGTGATCTTATCGCTTCTCGGCCTTTTGGCTAAGATCAAGTGTAAAAAGTGATCTTGATACTGTTCCTAGATCAAAGAGAGACTAGTTTATGGATAATCAGCGCAGTTTGAGAAATAGCAATTGAAAGTTTATGAGGGAAAATATACTTGAGATATTCAGAAATGATTTTTAAATTTGTAATTCTGATATGGCTCATGATGGATTACTTGTTAATTCTAAAAAGTTTTTTTTTTTCCTAAATCACTGTGGTGTATAGTATAGCAGTGAATCTTTTAGACACCAGCTGCCAAACTGCATCCCAGAACCCACTTATTTATGACAGAATGCCAACACTGCACTTAAACCTAAATACTGAGGTTTTAGTTTAGAAAACAAAAAAAAACAATTCCACGTTAATATCTTTTGTCTTAAAAAACAGTAATAAGATGCCATAGGCTAGCTACCACTGGTTTATAGTAATCTTGATATTTAGGTACTCTTGAGTAGATAATTTCTTAATTTTATAGCAGTGCAGACACATTTCTTTAGCTGCTGATGTTTTTAAGGATACCTGTTTGGAATTGAAAATTTTGATGTAAATATATACAAAAGATTTTTCTCTTTTTTTTTTTTTTTAAAATTAAAAGCGGGGAGAACTGCTTCATGATGCTGTAAGTATTTTGATGTAAATATATACAAAAGATTTTTTTCTTTTTTTTTTTTTTTAGAATTAAAGCTGGGAGAACTGCTTCATGATAAGCTGTAAGTATATATGTGTCCTTTGAAATAGTGTATTGTGATAGTTCAGTCTTTTTTTCTCATGTGGAATACTTTTATTTGAAGTCTGGATACATTTATATTTTAAAGCTATTAAAAATATGAACCTATTTTTAATTTTGGTGAACTTTTTGGTTTAGATGACCCTACTTGTGAAGTGAAATGGTTTTACCTAGCAGAACAGTGACTTATGGTTCCTTTCTTGAGGGCAGATGTACTACATGTGGAATATCTTGAAGTAAAGGTATAACTTGTATCCTACATATGATAGGTTAGTTGATGACCAAATATTAGGTGACTGAATGCCTCTATTGAGAATCCCTGGGAATAGATATTGTAAAAGAAATAGGCCAGATGTGGTGGGACATGAATGTAATCTGAGTACTCTAGAGGAGGCAGAGTTAGGAGGATCTCAAGGTCTGAGCTGAGCTTGGGCAGCTTAGTGACTTAGTGAGATCTGTGTCAAAATAAAAAAATAGAAAAGGGACTGTGGATGTATCTCAGTGGGAAGACCCTAAGGTTTTATCCTCAGTGCCACAAAAAATAAAAGGAAATGCTTAATTGTATTTGTACTCCCATAGATAGCCTCGGTTTCTATACTGGACAGTCTTCATTTTCAATGTTAGGAATGTGAAATCTTGAGTTAGTAAATGGACAAGATTGGACAATGGGGGTGTAGGGCCTGAAATTCCTTCTCAAATTTTAGGGTGCATCAGAATCATCTGGAGGGCTTTAAAAGACACATTGCTGGGGTTGGTACCTCTGAAATTCTATATTTAGTATGTCTGGTGTGGAACCACAGATCTTTAATTGCTAGCAAATTACCAGGTGAAGAATTTGATGTTTTTGATCCATTTGAGAATTTAAAGTATTTCCACAGTTGGTGTTACCAACTTTTTCCTAAGCTTTGTAAATTATTGAGTAGTTTTTAATTGTTTTTGTTTTAGAATTTAAATCTGCCTGGACTTTATTTTTTTCAAATTGTATGAATCAAAGATTTCACTTTTTCCAGATGCTTAGACATTTTCTTCAACAGTATTTACTAACTAATCTGTTTTTCCATTGATTTGAAATTCCAGCCATTATTGTAAAAAACTTGTTTTGTTTGGACTGTTTATATTCTTTTCCATTGATTTTTGTGTTCTAGAATGCTTTTTAAAATTTGTAATATAGCTAAATCTTGGACATAGCCCATTTGCCCATCAGTAGATGAAGGGATAAATAAAATTTGGTATTTATATACAGTGGAGTACTATTCTACCATAAGGATAAACTCAAGACATTTTTAGGGAGATGGATGCACCTTGAGACCATACTCTTTAAGTGAAATAAATCGGGTACACATGTTTTAAATACTGCATTGTTTCTCTTGTATGAGAAACCCAAAGTATAAATAAGGAGCAAAACAGAGACTACTTATTGGGAAGTTAGGAAGAACTTGTTTAAATGGGAAAGGAAAGAAGGGAGAAGAGAAAAAAGAGAAAAAAGATTAAAAAAAGAAAATGGAAGGAAAAAGTGGGAATAGCTTTTGTAAATGGAGAGGTGAAAAAGGGTTGAGAGAGGAGAATGTGAGAAAAAACAAAATTAAGATAATACTATGTAGGGGTATAAGTTCTCCATGATGATTGTGATCATATTTATGGTGAATGTACTTAAAATAAAAAAGAAAAGATTATTTTTTATTAGTGCGTGTTTGTTGCACATAATGTTTAAATTCCTTGTGTAGAGTTGGCACATGTACATAATACCCCCCCATGCTTTAATTATTTTAGCTTTATAGTATTGTGTGGTATTTGGTGACTGTATTGTTTTTATTGATAGAATTCTCTTCTATTCTTGCATACTTCTCTTTTGGCTTGGCAAGTTCTTTGAAAAGTTCCATTTGGGTTTTGGTTAACATTTGTCAAATTTGTAGATGAGAATTATCTTTAGTAATATTGTTATATGATCATATTGTCAGAATATCTTAGATTGAAACATGAGAAACGTAGAGGGATTGAAGGGAACAAAGTCTATTGTAAAGCTTTGTTTGTTTTTTGGTACTGGGGATTGAACTTCAGTCCTTGGCATTTGCAAGGCAGGCGGGGGAACCACTGAGCTAAATCCCTGGCCCGTGTAAAGTTCTTTTTTGGTGTCTTATTCCTGCTTTTCAATCTGAAAGAAAGTACTTAGTATGATAGGCAAGGTGTCTTTATTTTCTCTGTAGTGTAGTGAAGTCATTAGCTTGATGGCTGGCTGTTCAAGCTTTCTTTCAGTCTTTTCCTTTCCCTTTTTTTTTTTTTTTTTTTTTTTTTGTTACTGGGGATTGAACTCGGGTCCTTGTGCTTTCAAGGCAGGCCACCGAACCGCTGAGCTAAATCCCCGGCCCCCTTTCCCATTTCTTGAAGCATATCTGAGTTAATGCTATACATACTAGTTTATAGTATATCGCAACTATCTACTTTTGTGACGGATCAGCAACAAATACCAGAGCTTTGAGATTTCCAAATTATTTTTCATTATATAATTGTCAAAATTTTGGGCATTGTATGTTGGTGCCAGATGAATTCTTTTAAGAAATGAAAATAAAAACAAAAAGTTACATGCTATGATGATTATTCTGAATATGACTTTAAGAATGTTACAGAAAATTAAAGAAGGCAGAGTGAAATCTATGATCTATCCCTTTTATTCCCCAAAGTTTCTAATGTGCATCCTTTTTTGAGACAGAGTCTTGCTATGCTGTTCAGGTTGGCTTTGAACTCGCTATGTAACCCAGGTTGGGCTTGAATTTGTGATTCTCTTGCCTCAGCTTCCTAGAGTTTTGGGCTTACTGGCATGTGCCACCCTGTCTAGCTTTAATGTACAATGTTTTCTTTAAGCATATATAAAACATTTAAATTCTTCCCCATAGTACATGTAAAAATAATTTGAGTGGCAAGAACATGAAAGAATTCTCATTTTTGGTTAATTAAGATAGAAGTGTTACCAAATTAGAAAGACTATGTAGAATGTTGTAGTTGTTAAAATTACTGATAATTTCTTTACTGTTGTGGGAATTTAGGTGCAGAAACAATTTGTGGGTTTTATTTATTTGCAGATTTGGTCTCTTTGAAGCCATGTCTGCTATTGAAATGATGGATCCCAAGATGGATGCTGGCATGATTGGAAACCAAGTTAACCGAAAAGTTCTCAATTTTGAACAAGCTATTAAGGTAGTCGCCATAATACTTTTTTGTGTTTTCTGTGATCTTTTTTGTATGTTAAAATATCATGCTTAGTAATCAAACAATATATTCACTGAAAGTATGTTTTTAAAAAGCATCTCAAATGTTTAAGAATTAGTTACAACATTTCTAGTTACCTATTTCTGTTGAAATCTAGAAATTATTTGAGGTCTTCTATAAACTTGTTCTAAATTTGTATTTTTTTATATTTTAAAAATAATTTTTGTGTTAGAATATACAATGCCAGGATAACTGGCTTAGAGAGTGCATGTAATATATTAATTATATACTAAGCAAAATGGTTATGGTTATAAATTTAAAATTTACTTACTGAGAATTGATTTAGAAATTTGTCATTGCCACAGTTTAATTTTATGTTTTATGAACAAAGATTAGTAAATAGATATTACAAACAAAATTTACAAGTAGTATATTTAATGAGCTTCAGGAAAGTACAGTATTTTTAAAGTATCTTTTTTTGGTAAATAGTTTCAAGTCATTAAAATAGTCACATTTATTAATACTTGAATTAATTTGAACTGTACTTTTTTTTTTTTCTTTTTGAGAAGCGTCTCACTATGTAGTTGAGACTGACCTGGAACTCACTGTGTAGTCCAGGCTGGTCTCCAACTCACAGTGATCCTCCTGCCTCAGCCTCCCGAGTGCTAGCATTACAGGTGTGTGCCACCATGCCCGGCCTTGAACTGTACTATTAAAATACTTTTTTTTTTCTTTTTATTGAGTTTATTGGTACAATTTAGGTATACAATACAGTTACATTCATCATTGGGATTCTGTACCTTTACATAATAGGTCTTGATTCTCATTTTTTCCCCTTGTCCCTGCCCTCCTTATTACCTTTTCCCCCCCCTTCCCACTTTCCCTACACCTTTAGCCCTTTACTTCCTATTTCACATTATTAATTATCTTATTAGGATCCTGTGTATTATTATAGTTTTTCACACCAAAGAAACCATTCGGTATTTCAGTTAAAGAAATCTATGAACATTAAAAATAGGGAATCCTAAAATAAAACTAGAAAGTAAAAGAGAAAAGGCAATGATGTAACATTAAAATAATCCTTAATTCTGGAGATGAAAATGGTCCCTGAACATATTTAAATTGCTTCTTGCTCTTATAGTCTTATTTTTTTTATTAGAGAATACTTTATTAGTTTCTGTAATCAAACCCACGTAGATATGACCTTACATATTTAGTACGATGTGTTAGCCCTGTATACGTGGAAAAAAATAAAAATTAACATTTCTAGACTAATATGGCTGTCCATTTCTGTACAGTGCCAACTCAACACAGTAAATTGGGATGACTTTTTCCAAAATTGGCAGCATCGTTAGTTTCCCCAAATTCAATTTATATATGTGTGTGTGTATATATGTTTATATTTATATTTATTTAAAAAGACTAATAATAGCAGTATGTTATGCATCGATAGCAGCAACAGCTTTTCCAGGTTCTGCAGTCATCTCAACAAAATTATAGACATTCAGCACATTCCATTAAACAAAACAAAACAAAAAGAAACAAAGAAAAGAATAATATCCAGAAAACAGCAAAGTTCTGTTGCTGTTGTGGTACCTGGCACCATTTTTTTTATTAGCATCTTAATCATCATCTGGAAAGAGAACATTCTAGAGTAATATCATTAAATGTAGCTCTGATAAAGCACGTATAAGATATTTTACATTCATAGAGGTATGATGCAGTACCGTCCTACATCAGTAATACTAGAATCAGTTTTGGTTTGAAATTTACTTTGTTTGCCAATAAGATTGTTAGCCCTATCTTTTTCTGGGCTCCTGTCACATGGAGAATTGTTTTCTGTCTTTTCACTTTCAGTCTGTGGGCTTCTTTTTGCACTAGGTGTGTTTCTTGTATACAACATATTGTTGGGTTTTGCTTCTTATTCCATTTGCCAAGTCTATTTCTCTTGATTGGTGAGTTTAGGCCATTGACATTGCTGGTTATAACTGATACGTACTGACTTCTTATTGACATGTTATTGGCCTTTTGTTGACTCTTTTTACTTTTTCACCTTCTCCTTTTAATTTCTTTCCTTGCCTATTTGATTTGCTCTGTTGGCCCTCATGGTGGTGTTGCCTTCATTCTTTTTCTAGGATCTTGTTTAGAATTCCTTGTAGTGCTGGTTTGGTATTCATGTAGTTTCTCAGGTGTTCTTTGTTGTGGAAGTGTCTCATTTCCCCATCCATTTTGAAAGAGTTTTGCTGGATACATCAGTCTAGGTTGGAGGTTGTTCTCTTTTAGTACTTGAAATATCTCATTCCAGGCTCTCCTTACCCCAAGGGTTTGTGTTGAAAAGTCTGCTGTGATTCTGATGGGCGTTCCTTTGTTTGGGAAGTTTTCTGTCATTAATTCTTTGAACAGCTTTTTAAAGTCATTTGTATTTTCTCCTGCTACTTGATGGATTCCTATCAGTCTTATATTATTCTTCTTTGCATCATCTAGGAGTTGTTGGATCGATTTCTCATGATCCTTTACTGTTTTTAAGAGACCTCTCTTTTTCATGGTCACTGACTGCAATCTTATCTTCTATATCTGAGAGTCTATCTTCGCATTCTTTTATTCTGTTGCATACACTTTGGAGTGTTTAATCTCCTGGATATCTGTTTGAATCTGTTCTATGGATTCCATTTCTTTCCTATGTTGGGCATTCATTGTTTCCATTTCTTTCTTATGCTGAGTCTTCATGGCTTCTATCATGGTCCTGAGCTCATCTATTTTTTTGTCAGTTTCTGCTCTAGAGTCTCGAATCGCAACTTCCATTTTGCTCACTATCTCTATGGTTTTCTGGGAAATTATTTCTGTTTTGAATTTTTCTAGAGCCTGATTGATCTGTTTTGTTACTTCCTGTGCTTTGAGTTCAGGGTGTCCTGGTGGTTCACTGTCAGGCTTTTCATCCTCATTTGCCCTACTGTTTGCCATTGATGAACTGGAAGTCTGTCCTGTGTCTTGCTTAAGTGTTTTCTCATTTTAATTTTTGTTGTCAGACTGTCCTTGGTTTAATCTCTGGATTATCACCCAAATCTTCCTGATATAGTTGCACCCTAGCTTCTGTGTCTCTAACGATCCACAGACATTCTTATCTTCATAACATCAGAGAAACAGCTCATCAAATCAACCGTAATGCTTTATGCCAACTGATACAATCAGCAACACAATTACGATCAAGCATAACTTGGACACTGACCACCTGTGGTAATTGCTAATCTATCACCTTTAAATCATTTGAATTAAATTGAAATCAAGAAGCAGTCCAGAACATGTCTGCAGTGAGTAAAATTTCAGTATAGTGTATTTACCATTTAATGGCTCAGACAGAGCGAGGATGCAAGTCCCCTGGTCTTAGTTAGCTGATGGCTGAACCCCATGACGCTGACTGACCTCGGGCTGCAAGGCCCAGATTGAGTTCCCGAACCTTCTGAATGGTTGAACTCCACAACGTTCTATTACACGTTTCCCCTGCCCTTTCTTTAAAGATGTTCAAAGTTGGGAACTCGGAAAAATACCCTTGATGACCACCTGTGCCTCTGCAGAGTGGGTCCAAAGACTGGCACAGTCGGGAGGTCTGAGAGTGCGGTGGGGGGGCTTATGGGGGTTCAGGGGCGCCCGCACGGCTACTTTCCCAGTGCTTGAGCGATGGCGGCTGGGTCGGGAGCAGGCGTGGTTCTCCTTCCCGTGGTGGATCAGGGCCCAGCCTACCTCCCGGCGCTTGAGCGATGGCGGCTGGGTCGGGGATTTGATTAGCTTACATCTGAGTGCAATGCTTCTGAGTCTCGGTTTTTTGCCGTAAGATAGACAAGCTATTAAAATACTTTTTGATTTGATTTTTAAACTTCATTTTAAAGGTCTATTCAAAGTAGAGGCTTTGATTTTTCTTATTGAAGGCCTGTTTAAAATACATTTTTCTATAATTATTTGTCAATTAAAAATATTTTAAGAATACAATTTAATACTTTTTTTAAAAAAAATATCCAATGTTTCAAGTTTTTATTTTTTGTAACTGTGCCATGTTAAATCTTCCTCCATAAAATCCTAGGAGAGAGTTTAAAGCTAACCGGAGCTAAATAAAAATACTAAACATTTTCATAGTTTAAAGTCTTCAAATAGAAAAACAAATGCTAAGAAATTTCTTTCCCTTCCAAATTACAGTATTAGACCTAGTGGTCAGATGTTTGAAAAGAGAATAACATGACTAGTTTAATGTGTTAATGATTCAATATTTTGCCCTAGTCAAATTTCAAGAACAGTAGCCAAATATTTGGGTAGTATACCAAGGAGGAAAACTTGAAACAGAAGTACAAAGCTATTTCAGTTACTTTCTCAGTCAAAGCTGTATTTTGGTTTTTTTTTTGTTTTTCTTTTATTGAGTTTATTGGTACATCAGATGATGAAGCAGAATTTTCTTAGAATTGCTATTTTACATATCAGGTTTGAAATCTAAAGTGCTACTGTACATAATAACCATAAATTAAAATTTCTAATTATATATCTCATTTTCCCTCCTTTTTAGGATGGTACCATTAAAATTAAAGACCTCACCTTGCCTGAATTGATAGGGATAATGGATACATGTTTTTGCTGTTTGGTAAGAATTAAAATAAGACTGTTGGTTAATTAAAAATCTGTGACTCACCTGAATCTTTGAATTTAAAATACATACCTGTGTTGAACATGAAGTATGTGTAATGTGGAGTCTAATAAGATGTATATAAGATGAACATGCTAATTCATACCACAGAAAACAGCATTTCATCTTCCATCTGGGTGCTCCTAGGGCTCCGATTTTCTGGGTAAAGGAATTTCTTTTTTTCAGTGAAGGTAATATTGAATATCCTTTTTTGTTTTCAAGTTACCCAGAGAAATAAAACTAATTTTGGGTTCCAGGAGATAAACATAATTGAAACAAAGGCAGATTTGGGTTGTCCTGGAAAACTTCTTTTCTAATCTAGGGTAAACTGTGGTAAGCTGAATGAAGATATGTAGATTTTCTGTGAAGTAAATATTTTACTGATTTATCTTTGTTGGATATGTGTCTTCCCTAGGCAGTGTTGTTTATTTGTAGAAAATTTTTTATTTTTGCTCCTCCCCCATTTAACCATCCTTTTTGGCATTAAATTATCATTGTTAGAAATATATAACATTAATTCAGCAAGAATTGATTGCCAAGTGTGTTAGAAGTATGCACATCATAGTTTTTTACATGCCTAATTTTTTTACTTAGGTTTATGTTTGTAGCTACTTGTCTTTTCTTATATTGCTTAGGGTTACATTGTAAGGGGCACAGCCAGAATTCTAATCCCGATTTTTTGTCCTCCAAAAGTGAATTTCTCAAAGATATCTTTAGTATCTTTTATCAGTTTACAGTCCTAGTGGTGTAGGGAAGGGAGAGGGAAGATTGCTGGGGGCAGATATGCAAAGAAGTAGTTCTAACAACATGTAGATGTTTTCATAATGGTTCTGTGGGGCATAAAGGAGGGGACAGTTATGTCGAGGGTGGGGAAGTAAAGCCTGTGGAAAGGAAGTGACACTGACATGAAGTACTCAAGAATGGTAGGCATGTGACAAGAGGGTTAATAGTATTGAGACAGAGTGGATGTATGGTGTGGCAGTGGCCCAGTGAAAGTGTCCAGTTTGGGGATTCATGAACAGCTGTTGGCTGAAATTGGTAGGGGCCAAATAGGAAGAGTGAGATTTAGAGAAGGAAAGGTAAACAGAGGAAGGAGTTTTGCCATAATTGAGGAACTATTTGAGACACTTGGGAGGACTGCATTTAAGAGTCTGGGCTTTCAAAGGCGGAAGATTTTTAATCTGCAAAATCTCTCCTGCAACATAGTTATTCCAAATACAACTTAACTAGAATACTTTTCACATCCATTTATTTTTTAACAAACTGGTGTATGCATTGCTCCATTGCAGAATTCTTGGGTGTTAGTGTAAAATAGAAGTAAATATAACTATAATTAAAATATAACTATGATTAAATTAGAATTAAATTCGTTGCATATGAAAGGAGAAATGTGCCATCTTCCTCAGTGTTAGGAAAAAATTATATAAAATATAACAAACTACTCGGTGTAATCCTTGAGATCTAATCATAACTCAGTTTTGATTATTGTTGGTATTGCCAGCATACAGTGTTAGTGTGGAATATTTACCCTTGAGTTATAGAAAGATCCTCCTGGTTTGGAGCATTAAATTAGCAATAAGAGAAAGGTAGGAAAACCATGACATAATTTCCTGCAACAAACTAGGTGCGATATGCTATTGGATGAGTTGGTGATAGTGAACTTTAAAAAGAGTTGGATGAGAGGCAAAGAACATGATTAGTTCTAAAATTATGAATTCATCACTTTGTGCATTTTATTGATGAAGCATTTCAGATTTCAGACCAGGGATGCAAAACCTATACATTATATGCAAATATTCCAGAGCCAGAAAACTCCAAAATCTGAAACAGTCTTAAGTACTTCAGATAAGGGATACTCGGCCTATATATCATTCTTAAAAAACTTCAGTGAAAGTGAATTTTAACTGTTTTTTTCTAACCTTCCTTTTAATTACTTTTTAAATCTGTTGGTCAATCTTACGTTGACTCAGGTCTGTCTCTCTTGTTGGATCAGTTTAAACTTTACAGGCTCTAACAGTAAATATGCACCTACCTTTATTTCCTTACAGATAACCTGGTTGGAAGGCCATTCCTTGGCACAGACAGTATTTACATGCCTTTATATTCATAATCCAGACTTTATAGAAGATCCTGCTATGAAAGCTTTTGCTCTAGGAATCTTGAAAATCTGTGACATTGCAAGGGAAAAAGTAAACAAAGCTGCAGTTTTTGAAGAAGTAAGATTTTTAAATATAAGAATTCCTGAAGCTCATTGACAATTTTATTCATTGTGATACTTTTAAATGTTTTTATGGTACTTATTCTTGTGTGCATGTATAGCTAAGAATAGCTTTTAAAGGCAACACTATTGCTAGACATGGATATGCTGTGCCTACAGTCCCAACTGCATGGGATGCTGAAGTGGGAAGATTGAGCGCAAGAGTTCAAGGCCAGCTTGGATACCATAGTAAGGCTTCATCTCGAGAAAACGGTGCTATTACTATTTGCAATATATTGGCTAAAGTAACCCAGTGTTCAGCGAAGGGCTTTTATCTTACGTGTTCTTCTGTCAGTCCCATTCACTGAATGTCTGTGTGTGCAGAAGAGTATTCTGGGGACTGTGGGGATTAGCACAGGAAACGAGGTACAGCCCCTACCCTAACGAAAAGGCTCTGTTTTCAGTCCTTTAGATAAGAGGAGCCGAGGAAAATAATGAAGGATGTTTTAGAGATGTTTTCCTCCAATTCTCCGTACCACACACAAGGAAGTGCTGTAAATTTTAGTTTATTTTTTTTCTTATAAAGAACACTTTTTGGCTGATAACTGTAAGGGAAAGTAAGATTGAATGTGTAGTTATTAATAATGACTAACTATTTTTGTTGAATTCTCCCATTTGTTGAAATTGTTAAGTTCCTTTTGAATGCTCTTTCTGATCCAAAATATCTCAGGCTCCAACAGTGACTCCATATATTGTAGGTAAAACTTTCCTAAATATATTTTATGTATATGAGAATAATTACATATGTACCTAATATGATTGGACATGTTTGTATTGTATGATTTTTGTGTATGGGTTCTGAGTTAGTAATGAAATACTGTCTGCTTTTTAAATACTCATTACTTAGCTAAATATTTGTATCGATATGTGTGTCATTATAGAACTTATCAGTATAAATGGAGGTTTTATTTATTTATTGTTTGGGTGCTGGGGATTGATCTCAGGACCTTTTACTTTTGAGGTAGGCAGTGAACCACTGAGCTAAATCCCCGGCACCTTAAATGGAAGTTTTAAAAGAGTAGTTTATGTTAATGAATGAGAAGAGAAATACTGTACAGATATGAAAAAATACTTAAAAAATATACCTAAAAGGACATTAAAATCAGTGGGTTAGAGAAAGGATTCATTTAAAAAATAGTCCTGAGGGCTGGGGATTTAGCTTATTGGCACTATGCCTGCTTTAGAAGTGCAAGTTCCTCAGTTTGATCCTTGGTACCACAAAAAAAAGGCCTGAAATATTGTAAATATACAAAAATATTTAAAAATCAGCTAAAGACAATTCAGAGAAAATAAAATGACCTTTGAACATAAAATGTTTAGCTGGGCGTGGTGCCTCACGCCTGTAATCCCGGCACTTGGGAAGCTGAGGCAGGAGGATCACTGAGTTTGAGACCAGTCTGGGCTACATAGTTCCAGGTCAGTCTCAACTACATAGTGAGAACTTGTCTCAAAATAAACAAACAAAAAAACAAACAAAAAATGTTTAATCTTGCTTAAGAGAATGCAAGTTAAAATGGTGAGGTATTTTTTTTAATGTGTTACTGGCAAAGATTAGAAATTTTTTATACCGCATGTTAATGGTTTCCTTGAACCATCAGTGGATATGTGACACACATTTTTATCTCGTTTGCTTAAATGCCTAAGGAAAAGAGTACTTCTACACAAACGCATCACAAGTACCAACCTCAACAAATCTCTTGTATCAGTGCACTTTTCATGTTTTATGACCATCCATTGACCCAGACTTTCTTACATTATTTTCCTTCTGCAGTACAAAATTTGGTCTAGAACTGTGTCCTACATCTAACTACATATCTCTTTAATATCCTTTAGAGCAGACTCTCAGCTTTCTTTGCATAATGATACAGGTATTTTTGAGTATGTGACCTCTTGCTTCCCCTCTTTTTGATAGAATGTGCCTCATTTGGGTTTTGCGTGCTCCCTGCTCATGATTAAATTTAGATCTGGCAGTTCTGGCTGGAACCTGATGTGATGCTGGGTACTTCTCAGGGTATTTTATCCGTACAGTACAGTGCCCAGTTGCTCTTCAGTGGTGCTGTTATTTGACCACTCCAGCGAGGTGTTGTCTATTACTATATTGCTCGTGTTTTTTTCTCTTGTTTTGAAGCAGTCCTCTGGGAAATTCTTTAAGGTTACAAAAATACCTGGCTCTTTAATCTCTCTCCATAAATTTAACATGCACCAATGATACTTGCCTGGACTAGTCTTTACTGTGATGGTTGGAAAATGAGGATTTTCTAAGTCTGGTACTCGCTCACATGTCTTTTGACACTAAGCATTCTGTAAACAAGATTCATGCTTTTTGAGGGATTTTAAATCCTTACCTCTTTTTAAAAGAAGAGTATGATAGTATCTGATATTTAAAATGCACATATCTTGACACACCAGTTTCACTTCCAGCACTTTATCCTACAAATAATTGCCCTTGTACACAAAGACCTCTATCCAAGGATATTAATTGTGATACTGTTTGTAATAATTAAAATCTAGAAATGTCAGTATTCTTCAATAGAAGACTCATTAAAAGGTGCTATATTTGGTGCTAGGGGAAGGTAGCTCAGTGTTAGAATGCCTGCCTACCAGTGTGCAAGGCTCTGGGCTTGATCCTTAACACTAGCATAAAAAGTTAAACGTACAGTTTTATATATACAGTTAACATTACATCTCCAAAGAAAAGTCGGGTAGAAAAGCATGTATACTTTAAGAATTTAATTTTTTTTTTTTTTTTTTTTTTTTTTTTTTTTTTTTAGGGGAGATCTTCCATACACAGGAGATAACTTGGATACCTAGGGCTGAGGAATATGTATTTCTACCATTGCTGCAGCATTTATTATGTGTCTGTATTACTTTAAGATAAACCAAATTTTTCAGTACTAGAAGAAATTATAATTGGATTTTTATGTATGTTATGGATGGAGAATTTAAATGGTAGAAAATTTAGCTTCAGTATAATCTAGGAAATACAAATTAATCAGTTTACTTTTCAAGTTTAAAATTTTTTTTGCCACCGAACCGCTGAGCTAAATCCCCAGCCCATGTTTAACAATTTTAAATGAGAATATTTAACTTAATGTTGGCATTTTAATTTTTACCAGTGAAATTGCATTAACACAGCTATTTTGGAAAGGAATTTCTGTATATAACAAGAAGCTTGACATTTTGATAACATTTAAACCAGTTATTGCATCTCTAGATCTCAGCGTGATAGAAATATTTAGAATGACTTTTTTTTTTTTGGTACTGGGGATCAAACTTGGGCCCTTGGTGCTTGTGTGGCAGGTGGCCGAAACACTGAGCTAAATCCCCCGCCCTAGAAATAATTAGAAATGTAGCACTTTAGGCCCAAATCTGTTAATCAAGAGTTTTCAGTAGTAAACGCTCACAGTAATACCAACCAAAATGTGTCACGGGGGGTATAGTTGAAGTAACTGGATCATTTAGTGCACATGTTGATAGCCGTTAGTTTAATGAAGGAGAGTGGTTAGTGTGCATGGAAGAAGGCATACCTTAAAAGGTTCAATAAACAAGCAAACAGTGTAGCCAACTTCATAAAAATAAACTAGAAATATAACCTAAGGTCAACTTCTGCACTGGAAAGATTCTGTTTTTCCTATTTCAGTGATCTTCAGATTTTCTAGATCTTAAGTATATCTTAGTTTTATAATTAGAAAAATGCTGATTGCCTAGGAAAAGTCTTTTAGGGAGCTCATAATGAGTGAATAAGAATGATTTACTGATTTAAGGCTAATGAACATGCCATTTATTTGTCTGACCTAGGTGCGGCTGAAGTTCCTAGTTGCCAGAATATTTTACTCTCAGATAGGTCTCCTGAATTTGAGACATTTTCATCCCCTTAATATTTTACTCACATGTGAAAAATGAGAATTGTAATTCCTCCAAAACTGTCAAACTGCTTTCTCGTTTGTCTATCTTGCCAAGTAACATCTTTACTGCTATCTTTGATTGCTTATTTTCTTTTGCCCCTACATCTATATTCATGTAATTTGCCAAAATCTTGAATCTGGGCTTGGTTTCCTCTTTTCTCTCATTTTTTTTCTTGGCTTTAGTTTGTGTGTTGCTTTAGGTTTAGTTCCTGTGAGATTTTCTTGGCTCCTCTTTCTGGCTGTTTTTTCTCTATAGTCTTCCATATTTGTATCAGTTATCTTCTGAAAATAGATAATCCAGTCATATTTAGCTTTGTTATTTGAAAATTTTTACTGAGGTGTGCATGTATGTTTTAACAAAAGTAATGGTACAGTACTTGTATGTATTTTTAAAAGGCATAAGACACTGAAATATAGCTCTTTGCTCTTCCCTTCTGGTTTCATTAGTAATATTATTTTAGCTTTTTCTTAATTTTCTGATACTTTTGGATAAGAAACTTATGTTTTCATTTATGGATAAAGATTTCACAATTTTAGCTGCATGTCATAATTTAGAGTTCACACATTATCTCCTTTCCCCAGTTAGTAATTCAGTTTTTGGTTAAAATCGGAGCTGAAATTATGATTGTATAAATATGAATGGCAGATGAGTCAAAGTAGTGTATGCTGTACTTCTGCTCATACAAAATTTTTCTTTTCTTGGAGGCGATAAGTGTTTTTATTTGCTTTGATTTCTCTGTACTTCTCCCAGTTCTTCCTGTTTTTTGTGAACTCCAGTTCATAGAAGTTGCCAGTCTTACTGTTAACTTTCCTTATGTCCTCATTTCCATGGTCAGTGGCTGGAATCACTCCCATACCCTTAGCTTTGTTACCCCTCCCGTCGTTTCTGTCACCTGACAAAGTACCCAAGCAGCAGAAGCTGCTGGAGAGAACCCTCATCTGTGCATGTGTTCTCACTTTAAGGCTCAGCTCTCGGATGGGGACGATCCTAGCTGGCGCTTCTGTGGAGTGCTTGCTTTTCTCGTCTTTAATCTGACTTTTCCACGTCTGTCTTCTCAGCCCTCCATTGCTAGTCTCCTCACCACCAGCTTGCTTCCTAGTGTACTGAAATATCAGCTGTCACCGTGCTTATGTGTATCGTTATCTGTGTAGTCCGGTTTTTGTCCCTTTAAAATCAAGTATTACTAAAATAATTTCAGTCAGCTCCTTTATTTGTGTCCTAGAGTCTGTCCCTTGTTTCCTGCAGTTAATAAGCTTTCCTTTGTTAAGCAGGTTAATATCATTCATTTTAGAACAGAACACCTCAATTCTTTTGATGCCAGGGCTCCTCATATCCACATAGTAAAAACCTTTGAATGTGCTGTTAACATTGGTTTATTTTACATTCTCTTTACCCACTCTGTGATGGTCATTCTTTGCTACTGCTACAGAGTTCTGGTCTTTATCCATCTTTCTAAATCCCATGTTCCCAGCATTCCCTCTGTAACCTGAGTGCATCATTAGACTCACTTGGCCACATTTGAAATGCTTGACGCTATAGTCTTGGGTTTGTTTCCACATCCCTGGTTAGTCCATTTCCTTTGGGCTTCCCTCTGCTTCTCTGTACCCTCTCTAGGTTTGTTTCCTCTAGTTCTGTGGCTTTTAATACCAGCTGTACACTGATGGAGTCCCAGGATACATCTTTAGTCCTAACTCCTCGTTCTGGACCAAAGCAGATGCCTTCCTAAGGCACTCACTTGATTTAACATAGTCAAACTTGTAAGCCATTTTGCCCATAAAGCTGCTTTTCCCAAAGTCTGCTCCATCTCAAGAAATACCATCTTTTGTGAGTTGTCAATGCTTAAACCCTAAGGATGAGCCAGTAATGGTGGCACACACCTATAGTCCCAGCTCTCTGGGAGACTGAGGCAGGTGAATTATGAGTTTGAGGCCAGCCTGGGCTACGTAGTGAATTTGAGGCCAAACTGAAATATAGTAAGCAAGACCTGTCTGCAAAAAACAAAATGAAACCTACTATAAATAGTTTTCCTCCTACTCCTATTCATCTCTACCTTTTAAATGTATCCTGATTTTCAGTGATTTCTTAATCCCAGTGTTACACAGTCCTAATCCAACTCACCGTCAGTTCATGCTTGATCTGTTTATTCATTGGAGTCCGTCAGTATCTGGTCTTCACTGACGGTTGTCTACAGAACTTCCAGAGTGATCTTTTAGTGACACCAGTCTGTTTTCATAGCTCCCTGCTCTCAATCTTCCAGTGGTGCACGTGGCTAGGAAGTTGGATGTTAATGTAAGACTTGAGGGCCCTCTTTACTTCTTGTCTAAGTAGAGGTAAAGTACAAACTTCATCTAGAGGATGGGCTTATAGCTCTGTAACATGACTTGCAATTTTAAGAGATTCAGTTATACAAGTCGTATAATGCCTGTGAGTTCTTTGAGACCAATAATATCGTGTGTTTTTTGTTACTCTGTTCGTGAGAATATAGTGCTTAACATGAATTTTGATGCTCATTGTGTGTGTTGAGGACCTAGAAATTTTGTTGTAATTCTGACCACTTCAGTAACTACCATTATGTTGTTTCTCTCCACATTTTTATAGGAGTTATGTGACAGAAACATGACTTCTTGATTAAAACAAATCATACTCCTTTTTTTTTTTAAAGAGTGATTCCAGCAAATAATTTGTTTATGACTCAGCAGTAAATTCATTTAAAAAATGATTTTAGGACTGGAGAATCTGTGTGTGAATAACTTTTTCTTTACCATGAGCTGTAAACCGTGGTTTTCCTATCATTTTGAGTAAATCTATTTTGAGAAGACTTAGCTTTTGCAGTTTTAACTGGGTATAAGCAGATATTATTTTTAAAGTAAGTCTTGCAACCCTGCCATCAAGCAATAATTATTCTGTATATTTTCCTATGAGTATGACAATACTTTATAAATGAGATTTACTGCTTTGTCATTCATTTGTTCATTCATTCATTCTTTCCTTTTTTTTGGTACTGGGGATCGAATTTGGGTCCTTGCTTGCAAGGCAGAAAGTGGAACCACTGAGCTAAATCCCTGGCGTGTGTTTTGTGATAATTTTCATAAGCATTAGCCTTATTTTTAAAGTGAACATATTAAATGCAGATATACTTAACTTGCTCAAGAATAAGCAATTGAAATTAAGAGCAGAGACTGCATTGTCAATTTAAGTATATTCCTCTAAGAAAAGTTTAGAAGTGTAATAGCAACATTAGGACGAGCTGAGTGACATTCCATTTCTTTTCTCCTGTTACATAGTGATTTTGTGAGAGGAATACAAAGGTTTTGCTACTATTTTAAAGGGCCTAATTATTCTTTTATTTTATAGGAAGATTTTCAGTCAATGACTTATGGATTTAAAATGGCTAACAGTGTGACAGATCTTCGAGTTACAGGTAAAACCATTTATAAAGGTAATTTACAAGTTTTGCATTTTGTTTTCTTTTGGAAGGTAATTGTTTCTCTTTCTAGGCATGCTAAAAGATGTGGAGGATGACATGCAAAGAAGAGTAAAGGTACATATGTCTATGCTGCACTTTTTTTGGTACCGGGGATCAAACTCAGGACATTGCTTACAAGGCAGGCGCAGTGCCACTGAGCTAAACCCCCAGCCCTTCTCTGAAATTTGATGTAGGGCTGTTATGTTCCTAAATGTCAGGCTAACTTTAAATACAATTAGCTAGTACAGAGAGAACCATGTATCTCTCTTTTACAGGTAGCCATTTATTAGTGAACCTCAACACTTAATAGGAGTTTTTGATAAACTAATCTCAATTTCAAGTATTGAAAATGTACCTCATTTCTTTCAGTTTTTTGTCAGCGTTTTGTCTGTTAGTAGGCTATTTTAAGAATATATTTTTCTGCACTAAAGTTCTAGTGTCAAGTTCTTCACAGGTAAAGACTGTCCTCTTCACCTCTGTAGATGTAGGAACGAATGCAGTGTTGAGAATACTGTCCAGTAGGGGAACTAAGGGCCTAGCGATGTTATTGTTTGTTGAAAGCCATGCTGACAGCCTTCAGCTGTATTGACCCTGGTGATTCATTTTTCATAGAGATTAAGAAGGGAAAGATGTTATATTTTGTGTTGTTAATTTACACTTACATAGCAGTATGATTGCGAGAGAAAAATTTGTTTTTCTCTTTTTAAATTTTTTGCTCTTACTCAGGGAATTAGGCAATTAAACGCACACTGCCAGGTGTGGTGGCACATGCCCATAGTCCCAGCACTCTTGAGAGGTGAGGCAGGAGGGTCACAAGATGGAGCCCAGCATGGGCAATTTGGAGACTCAGTGAGACTATCTTAAAATAAAACACAAAAGGGCTGGGATGTTGCTCAGTGTCAAGGCCCTGGACTACATCTCCAGTACACAAAACAAAACACATATGCTGCTTCACTTTTGGTAGAGTAAAGTACAGCTCAAAGGCATCAAGGGAAGCTAGCTATATCTCAGTCTTACATAAGCGTATGTACTTGATATGTGTAATAGCTTCAGGACCAGAAACCAGATTTTCCTGTGCTGCTGCCTTGGAAATACCTATAACTATTGTATTAAGTTATATTGCATTTTATTGTATTAGTATTTACCATGAGACTTTATTTTTCTATGATTTTTAAAGATTGCTGATTTTTTTTCTAAGAGGGTTAATTTAGAGAATTTCAGTGATTGCAATTCATAGATCCTTTCATAGGAAAGTAGGACTGTATACCATATACTTTTGCCTATGTTATTTTATTGTTTTGCTTTTGCCATTTGAATTCCTGGTTATTTTTGTGATCTTTATTTTAAAATAAGCTTTCTGTATATAACATTAATAGGAGGGAAATAAATACTGGACATGGCTTTGTTTTTCTCCCCGTATTTTTCCTAAAAGTAGATCCTTGTCTTATATTTAGTCAACCTAGTGTTTTATTTACCTTGTATGTTTGTAATCTAATATTTCTCCAGGATTGTATTTGTTTTAATTTATCTTTTTTAAAATTTTAGAGTACTCGAAGTCGACAAGGAGAAGAAAGAGATCCCGAAGTTGAACTAGAAGTAATTGAACTTTTTTTCTGGTAGATTATATCGGAGAAGTCTACCTCTTAATGTTGTAGCTTTATAATTTATGGAAGCGCTTTTTAAGGTATTTCTTTAAAAATTGGACATTGCTGGCCGGGGATTTAGCTCAGTGTTTCTGCCAACTGCCTCACAAGCGCAAGGACCAGTGTTCCGATCCTCTGTACTAAAAAAAAAAAAAAAAAAAAAAAAAAA